GACACACATTTAGAATTATATTCGATTATAATAAAACCAATATTGATAAGACTGATTTATAGTACTTTCAAACCAAACAATTCTGTTTTATTTTTTGAGTGTAAATCTTTGTGTTAAGTTTGAAGTAATATACAAGTAAATTCGAAGCAGTTACATTGGCAAGTTTATGTTCTATATAAGTATTGATAAAACAATAATCAATTCATTGAATAATAGCTTACTTATAATCAATCTTAGTGTTGCTTTTTTTGTTTGCGTCATCTATACATACAACAAATCAAACTCGTATTGATCTAAGTTCTCTATATTATGATATGTAACATCGATGGAAGTTTATATCTCAACAGTATGCAAGAGATTGCATTCCGATAGTGTTTGAAGTGAGTGAGATAACCATAAACGAAATCTACCAAGATCATCATGTCCGCATATACGTGGCAACAAGCATTTATTAATGCTAGCAGTAGATCAAATTCAGCTGTCAGCATTATTAATTTTAGACGAATTCAATTAGAATTATAAACGCAATAATATACTTTATTTAAATATTAGACAACAAAAGAATTGAAAAAGTTCATTATCATGCTAATCTATTCATTAGTAGCTATTGTTAGAGATACACATAAGATTGATAGCTGACAAGTTATTAATCGATATATGAATGACTCTTACCAATCTTTATTAGTACTACTTAGAAAGTTTTGCATAGAAAAAAAATGTTTATTTGATATCAATAACAGTTTCGTAAGTGTACTCAACTTTTTGTTTAAAATCAATACTTTCAAATAGACTAAAATATATTATGATTTAACTTATTTCTTCTTCTCGGTTTTTTTTTTTATTACATGAAACAAAAACAAAATTAAAACAATAATTATGAAAAATATAGTTTACAATATAAAATCACAAAGCAGATGTGTGAAATAAATCCAATTCATATTAGATAAGAATACTTATGATATATGATACTACTATATCTTATTGTAACCTAACAAATATTTACGAACTTCTAGATGAAATGGTTACTTTAGTTGAAATCAATTATAACTTTCTTTTTAAAGCATTTCCGGATTGAGATTGGTATACTATTCATCGGTATTCATCTGTAATAAGATGAAATCTTACTTATTAATTATAAATAATTCATTTTTAGTAGTAGATTTATCGCTTTTGAGTTGTATTTGCATATGATAAAATACGTATGATCTTATTGATCAATAGTTTTCTTGTTGAATGAACAAGACATAGCACAATTTGTATTTCGCGTGATTGCTTCACACAGCTCATTATCACGCTCACTCGAACACCAACTATGACTACTTGTGGAGTTCAGCTTGAATTGATCAATAAACATGATCCATATTCTCTGTTTCTGTTACTCTTTTTTTCTCTCCTTCTTTTGTCTATCTTAATGACCTCATGTTGTATCTGTCAGGAAAGAAAAAGGACTGACCATTAAATATATACATACAGGAAAAAAAAACGGCAGAAAGCTTAGAATGAGAGGCGAGTCAATCAGGTAAGTCAATTAAATTTATATTGATTACTTTGATTTGTATGTATATTTATAAGTTGGTTTACATTACGACAGAATGTGATAATAGGCAGATTATTTTTTTGTACATTCTATCTCGTTTTGTATATATATGTGTCAAAAGATTATTATTGATCATAATGATTGTTGCACAAATATAATCTAGTTGAAGATCGTTATGTTTATCAGCATTAGCAGTTAACTTTGTTGGCTTTTTTTGCCTGAAAAAATCTTTAGAATATATATTTCTGTTATAAGTCATCATCATATGCGATATTTAGATATATTGATGCAGCATGCGCTTGTCATTTTGTTTCATATTTGACATTATGACAGATGTTAAGGTACTTGAGAACAAAAGTGACTGAATGACCTCAAAGCTATTTTTCTTTTTCTACGTTTTTTTTTGTCTGTTACTTCCTCATTTGATCCGCCTTTCATTTATGTTTGACATCGGCAATCATCGTCATTATCATCATCATCAGTAACTCATTGAAAGCATTTACATACATATTATAATGAGAATAAAAAGGGCAAAGATTTGAATATGCGCATTTCTTTTAACTTTATATTGAAGATAACTTTGATTTTTGTTTCTTGTATCATAAGAAGAATGTTTCATACAAATATCTACTAAAATTCTTTATTTGAACATGAATGCACAGTGATCAATCATTTATGTCTTCTTCTTTGTGTTGGTTTGTGAATTAGTGATAATTAGAAATATTAAAATATGCCTTGTAACAAAACATAAATAATGTTTTCTTTCTTGTGTGCACATAGTGACCGTCATCATATCTATTATTGCAAAGAAAACTTGCATGCAACCTTATCGTTAGTATTATGCTAACTGTGTTGAATGAGAGTGGGAGAGAGAATATTGGTAATCGACTGCTTTAGTAGATGCGGCATGCTATTTTTCCATTAAAAAAATCACCCAGTTATACTGTACATCGTTATTATCATCTTCATCGTCATATTATCGAGCACAGCAGCAGTCATCGTGGCTTATGTTTATATGCACTCTCTGTTACTATCTGCACCCATTCATGTATAGAGGACTGCTCTTTTCTCTCTCCTTCTTATTCTTCCTCTTGTCAAACATTCATCTCATTTATGTAGATTGAACGTTGTTGGTACCGTCAACGAGAAAACGAAGACGCGCCTATAGACATATGCATTTACTCGCCTTCAACAAATATTGTACTACGATCCATCTTTGTTTTTTTGGTTACTGCATAATGGATAAATTATGTTGATGAACATACACAACCCACAAGTCGGCTTAGCTTGAGCAAATATATTGACCGTGGTCACAATTAAGTAAGTAAGATTGAGAAGCAAAGAAAAAGAACAGATAAACTTCACAATATGTAGAAATGTCCTTCCTCACTCGTACTTTTTTTTGTGATTGATAAGAAAAAAAGGTTATTGAGATGATTAGGAGATAAAAGATAGAGTAACTTGCATAACTAATACATAATTGTAGAAGGGCGAAGAGAGCATCTGGCATAAGTATTGGACTCGTTAGCCACATGAACCGTACTATTCTCAATAAATGTATGTATATATATATATATGTATATATACATATATTGAGTTTGCCTATCTGATTAACGTCGCGTATGAGACATAGAGATCACGTTTTACTGTTTTGTTAAGAATCACACATCTGGAGGCAAAAAAAAATAAAAAAAAAACGAGGAAATGTTCAAAGAAATGAATAATTCCTTGGGGGAAATTCGTTTCATATTCTTTCAAACATTAGCACGGCCAGACAAATGCCAATGGTCTCTATTAGACAATTGTGTGTGCAATTCAGCATGACTATTTCTACTAGATCTCCTACTGTGTATATCAGTGACTAGCCTAATTTTAATGATAGTTACTTGAATCTTATACACAGCATGTTAGTGGATCACTATATGTTATTGTTTAACTAGTATTACATCATATATAATACTATGTTCTACTTGAATCCCATTACAATATTATTAAAAGAGAATTTGATAAGGAGAAATAGAGAGAACAAAAGAGTATACGTAGAGTCAGGTTTTATTTTATATATTGTATACATGTTTAAACATACAAGTGTTGAAATACAATAGTAGCCAACAGACATAGTCAGTGTCGTTTGGTCTTTCTCATCACTTATTACTTATTCCATTAACACTTCGTTCTATGTGCACAAATGTTATTTGGTCAGTTCATTCATTCATAAGAAGGCCATTGATCCTTGTTTTACTTGTAGTTGAAATGCACAAGCACGCGGTGTTATTATTAGTTACTTATTCATCTCATAGGTTTCTCTTCTCATAATAATATTGTGAATTGTTTTATTCTCATAGTCCGACTTCAATATCTTAACATCAAAGAAAGTAGGACAACAGTCAAAACTTGTTATTCTCTGTCTCTTCTTTTGTTTCATATGCATACACATATATATACAATGTCAATAATGTATGTCTTTCGTTTGAACCTTGACCGTATACATTTCAATATCTGACTATTTGTTGACTATTCTCAAAACTGTAGTACTAATTTTCAATTGCTTTATATCTGTCGTCACACTTGCCTGTTGATACAAGCACGCGTCATCGGCTGATTCTTTTTTTTTTTAGAAACAGGAAGAAAAGAAAGTTAGGTAAGAAGACAGAAAAAGATGCTTGAAAGGTGAAGTGTGAAGGATGATGTAGAAATTGTACGCCATCGCTATATATATATATCTATACATTTTAATAAGTAATAATAAATAGGCGACACCATATACTAACATATTGCATCATGATGATGAGTACAACGGCAGTGATGTGTTACTATTGAGAAGCAGAAAAAAAAAGTCAATTTCATTTCATTTTGATTTCAATTGTATCCTAATATGAATCGTTACATACAACGTATGTAATAATATTGAACAGGTTGTCTTATCAAGCATGTCATCTTATTATTTTGTCATTGTTATCGTCGTCTTCGTACTTTTTTTTCTTTTCTATAAACACTTATTCGATTCATTTTTCTTTGTTGTATATGTTACAGATCATATTTCTTCATTTGTCTATATATGATTAATATATATGTTTGTATGTCGCAGTATGTCAAGAAAACAGCTAAAAGCAATATTGTTATTTTCTTTTTTTTTTGATATATATATACATACCAATTTTAATCGAATTTAATTTTTCTTTCTATTCTTCACTCTCTCTTATGATCATTTTTACTTGAGTGGAAAAAAAAGAAATTGAGATCGATAACAACGGGCATTTTCTCTTATAGAATTCTTTACCAGTTAGAACTTTCATTTCTTTTTTTTGTTCATGATTTCTTACCTTTATTTGATTTTAATGTCCTTTTCCTTTCCTCTTTTCCTTTGTAGATGATAAATTCAGATCGATTTGAATCAAACAATGACAATATTGTTGATTTATCGATCGATATAATAACAGTAGACATTTATTAAATAATTATAATGTTACTATTACTTAATCTTATATTTTCATCATTTATTTCTTCACTTTATTCATTCAATTATCAGACTGTTGAACATTGGAGATATTTAAGACAAGAACAATCAATCGATAATCCATCAAGACTATCATCTTATTTTGGTTATTCATTAGCTGTTCATCGATCTAGGTAAAAGCTAATCATAAAATTATTTGATCAAAAGCCAAAAAAGAACCAAATAAAACTTTATTTTCTTAAGTTTATTGATTGGTGCACCTCGTGATCATTCTCCACATGATATAGTGACTAGACGAGGTACTGTATGGAAATGCGAATTTCGATTACATGATCATTGTCAACGTGTACCATTTCGTCGTGATGGTAAAAAAATAATAAATCAAATTCTTTATAAAAAAAAAATTTTATATTTTATATAAATTTTTCTAAGGTGAAGCTAATGTTCGTGTTGGTACGTCATTTGATAATAAAACAGATCAATGGTTAGGTGCTTCATTAGCAGCTAACTATGATCATATTATTGTAAATCTTTTTTTAATTGAAATCATTTCATTGAAAACTTGTTGTTTTTTTCGTTTGATAGGCTGGTGCACCATTTCTTAAACATCGTATTAATGATGGACATAGTATTGAATATGAAATACCTGGTGGTGCACGTATTGGTAAATATGGTACATCATTATCAATGATTGATAATACACAAATATATTCTCCATCATTCCTTAATTGGTGTATGTTTTCGAACTTTATAGATATTGTTGAACAAAAAAGAATACATTTATTTTTATTAGATTCTCGAAATTATAATCAAGAAGGTTATGGTGAATTTGGTTTTCAAGTAGCATTAAGTAAAAGACCTGAACGTATAATCATAACTGCACCAGGATCCTTCTATTTTCGAGGTAAACTAAGAAAAGAAAAATATAAATAATTATTAAAGAAAACTAAATAATTAGGAGGAATACATTCAATTCCAATACTTAATTATAATTGGATTGATACACGACATCCATTTACAGCACCACATTATCCATGGCATGATGTTGGCTGGCTTCGATATCCATCAAATTATTCATCAAATGAATATGATGACTGGTGTTATAGAGGTACAACAAGAAGAATAATTTGAGAGAAATTCAAAATTCTATTGTTTTATTTTTTGTTGTTATAAGGTTATGCTTTAGCTATAGGAAATTTCAATAATGATGATAATCAAGGTAGAAGAATTTTGTAGTTTCTTTTTTTGTTCTTACTATTGAAAATAAATTATATAAATTTATTTTTACAATAGAAATTGTTGTTAGTATACCAAAATTAGATAATTATCGCGGAGCAGTTGAAATAATGAATAGTAATCTTGATGAATATTCAATTCGAACCATAAATGGAATACAAATGGGAGAATATTTTGGTGCATCATTATGTGTTATTGATATTGATAATGATGGGTAATGATGACAATTTAAATTTATTTTGTCAGGCTTTTCTTTTTATAGACTTGATGATTTATTAATTGGTGCACCATTATATACAGTTAAAAAGGATGGTCGAATTTTAGCAGATGCTGGTCGAGTTGATGTATTTTATCAAACATTCGAGGTTCGTTTCTTGTTTTCTTTAAGAATATAATTTGTATTGATTGAATATTATTTAGCATAAACTCATACGAAAACAAACCATTGAAGGAACACGCGAAGGAGGACGATTAGGACATGCATTAGCAAATTTAGGTGATATTGATAAAGATGGTTATAATGGTATGATATATCTAAAGAATAATACTAATTAAATAAGTTTCGCTTTTTGTTGTTGTTGTAATTGATAGATATAGCGATTTCAAGTCCATTTATTAATTATGGTTCATCGAGTATGGTTCATATTTATCGCGGTTCAAAACATGGCTTAATTTTAAAACCATCACAAGTAAATAAAACATGAGAAAATAATATTTCGATATAAGGTTTTGTTTTTAAAGATTTTACAAACTCCAACTTTAAATGGATTTGGTTGGACATTACAAGGTCTATTCGATTATGATAATAATGGTTATTTAGGTAAAGTTAGATATGTTTTTTTTACATTAATGTCAATCATCATTTGTTTATTATTCATAAATGACAGACTTAGCCGTAAGCAGTATACGAACGGAAACTGTAGCTGTTATTCTGTATGTCAATCGCATAGATTAGATGAATTGATTGTATTTGTATTTATTTATTTTACTTTTTTTTTTATCTATAAGTTCACGTCCGGTGGTACGTGTTGAAACAAGATTACAACATAGTTCACCAACAATTCCATTAAATTGCACATTACTTAGTAATGATAAATGGTAAAAGCATAAATCTTCTTTTTTATTCGTTTTCTTTATATTTATATATGATTTAGTTTTATTTTAACATTATGTATTTATCTAAATGATGAGAATTATCAACATTCAAAACGCGATTGTTAGTATTGATTAAATTGATAATAATGTTAAAAATCTATTTATTATTTCTTTTTTTTTTGTTATTTATAGTTTTAACTTATGAATTACAACTTGATTATGAGAAAAATCCAATTGATCAACGTTTATTCTTTCGAGAAACATATAGATCAATTAAAAAAAGACATTTTAAAATATCGGATCGAATTTGTCATGATTATTCATTATATATGAAAGTATGTTTTAGATTTTTTGACAATGATGTCATTCTCAAATTTGAGCAGTCATTTAATTAAGACCTGCCTCCACTCAAACATCAATGTTTCTGAAGAAAAACGACCTTTTGAGATAAACATATAAGCATGATTCCTAAAGTGTCTAGTTTGAAAATTTATAAGCATAATTTTCACTTTTAAAAGAATTTCTTCAAAAATCATGATGAATTTATAGAGTTCTCCAGCGTAAAGGTTAATACCACATCTACAGAAATATTAAAAGTCCGGTTGGTAGCTGTAGGCAAGTTGTTCCTAGTCCTACCGGGATCGAGGCCAGGACTAACAGTTTTTCATTTAGAGTGGTATCTTTTATGGTCGTGTAATGCTTGCATCAAATGCCATATTCTCATGACTCATGTGCTCTAAAAGTTTATGCAAAAATTAGTGAGCAACGGTCGCTTCAATACTTACTCTTACAATTCTAATAGTACAATTAATCCTTTTTTTTCGTAAACAACAGGATTGTCGAATACATAAACGTACAGAATAGATGAAGTGTTAATGAATTTTTAAAAAAAATGAATCTCCAAAAGAGAGAAGAAATTAGAGGTCATGCAAGACGTCTCGAGCGCGTTGACACTGCTAGAAAATGATATTACAGTTTTTGCTACTACGTGTATTACTAAGAGCGAAATTAGAACCGAAACTTTTCTTTGACCAGACACCCCACCCAAAAACGATCCGTCCCGCTTATCACTAGCTATTACAGTTATGATCCCTTATCATAATCCAACTTGTGATTAGAAGGTCACTCGATAAGACTCTAGATGAATTTTTAATTGGTACATGATATAAACATATTTGATGCTCATGTCAGAGAGTTCTTCAGGTAAATATACAAAAAACAATGTTAGTGCCTTTTTCTTGGGTTTGGTTTTTGCATAAATTGTCGAATTCCGAACAAATATCTTTTCGATAGCATTCGTTCTAGTGAACTGTGATTTGTTCTATTCAATAGATAGACATTCTCTTTAGCGTGAGGGAAAGAGTTTTTGTCTTCAACTCTCAATATCAAAGTAATCATGAGTTTTCTAGAAAAGTTTATCTAACATTTTTGCAGTATTCAAATTTTCAGAGTCCCGAAAATGAAGTAAACATTAAAATTAAAAAACCCTCTCATCCATCCAAAGCGGTGAGAAGTTTTCTTTAAAATGATAGTAGTCCAACTGCTATAATTTGAAGTCTATTGAGAAAACATTTGTACGCGTGAAAGCCTTTATATAATTTATACTATAGCTTCTGGAAATCACCTGAACGATATGGTTTGGAGCTGTGAACATTCTTTTAATAGTGTACTCTCATTAATCAAACATCTTCAGAAAGTTTTATGGAAACCCGATGTGCTTTATTGAAAACCAATTTTGGAAGGAGAGGCATTTAGTGTAAATTATATTTATTAACATATTGCATTATTCTTTTCTTTTTTTTTTTAATTTTCAGCATGTTTTCTCTAACAAAAACACTATATGATTTGTTTTATTCTTTGATATAGGATGATGTTCACGATAAATTAAGTCCAATTCGTCTATATGTAAATTATGTACTGTCATCAAAGTCAGATCCAAACATTGTCCCACCAATACTTGATCCTGAGAATTCGACATTCAATTATAACGTAAAAAAAGAGAAGTTTATTGTTTTATATTTATATAATTTATGTTGTTTAGATTCCGATTCAGAAAGATTGTGGTTATGATGATATTTGTATACCAAATCTTCATTTATACACATCAAAGTAATTATATATTTACAATCGCAGTTAAAACTCTAAGAACAAAATATTTTGGATTTTGTCCTATAATACTAAGCATCTAAGACAAATTCAACTAGTGCTTTGAATAGACGAAGAACCACTCGATCAAATGCATTTCATACCAAAACTTCATGGATGGTCTATGGAAATAAGGTTTCCAAAAAAGACGAAACAGCAACTTTCAGAAGCCAGAGAACTTTACGAGCATTAATTTTAGACAGAACGATCATAAAGAGCACAAAAATTCTGAATATAATAAGGGGTCGCTGTGTTTTTTATGATTTTGCTTTGAAGAGTTACAAACATAACAAAAACGAAAAAAATCCATCATTTTAGTGAATTTTAAGCAGTTATTAAATAAATTTGATTTTTGTGATGCTTATAATTCTTTAAGATAGATTGTATGATTTTGGGCACTATTGTATATATGAAATGAATGAAAAGAAAATGTTTTGTTTATCATTTTCTTTAGATGGCCAGATAATTATAAAGTTGGTTTAACGAAACAAATTTTACTCAATATTAATGTCACCAATACAGGTGAAAATGCATATGATACTCAATGTTTAATACAACTACCTGTCGGTGTTGAATATGTCAGTTCAAATTCAAGTTCAAGAGTATGAGAAAAAAACTAATCAAATATTTAATTTTTATAAATATTTAAATATCTCTTGAAGTTTAATCTTTATTGTAATCTAATGAAACAATCTGATCGTATAATTGTTTGTCATCTTGGAAATCCTTTTTTATCAAATGAAAAAGTAAGTTAAATATTATGTAAATATTTACATATAGAATTTCTCTTTTTATTTTTTTTTTCAATTGTAGATATCATTACAAATTCATACAGCTGTTAATAATTACTCAGCAATACAAGTAGATCCATTAGTGTTTGTAATTAATGTAACCAGGTAGACATCTAAAATGTTTTATCTAATAAAACTAAATAAAAAAAATAATAAACGATTATGAGAATGTTGAACTTGTCGAGTATAAAAAATATTACATATGATTGAAAAGTAATTAGACAGGATTTTCATCCATCTTCAGTCTCTTTTTAAGAAGTCATCAGAAATTTCAAACATTGAGTTAGAATCAGAATTTCATGTTCGTGTCGGATAATGGTTCAAAATTTTTGTAAGACTTCTGATTTAGGAGTTATGATCCGACCCTTTAAGAGTCCAGAAATTAAGCTTGTACGGAGAACATGGACGTTTTGTTTGCTGCTAAAGAATTTTTTACTACATAAGTTGTATTGTCGACTTTTCTTGCATAGAATTAAGGGTAAAATTGTTTTCGACAAAGTAATATAAGAATCAAGAGTTTCATAGTAATCACTCAGGAATGGCAAACCTCTCTTTACAAGTCTGTTTTCCATAGAAATCGAGAAAACTGCTTAAATTGATACCATGCCCTTACTAAAACACTCGCTACTAACAAATGACATAGACCTTACTAATGATCGAAATATTATTTTATTGAGAAATATTTAATGTTTCATTTGCTATATTCTAAATAATTTTCACTTCTACTTTGAGTAGATTTTGGAGTGTTAAGTTCGTCCATACTTAATTTTGTGGACCTCTAAAAGATCGGCTCATGACTGTGACGCCCGAAGTTTTTAAAAAAATTTTAAACCCATCTTTAGAAAAAAAAACGCAACATTTTGATTCTAATCCAATGTTTTCAGATTTCTATAGGCTTCTTAAAAAGTCTGAAAAATGAATGAACATTCTGTTTAATTATTTTTCGATCATTCGTTACTCGTGCAAGAAACAATTATTGTACTTTAACAAGTATTGTTTCATTCGAAGTGTTTAATCTTACAATTATTTCAGATGGTGATACTCAAAAAAAGAAACTCAGTATTTGAATAAGAATTTTAAATGTTTCGATGTATTATAAATAATAAACCATACGTTATTTCTTATGAAATAATTTCAAAAGCAAAATCAAAATCACCCACACCCTCATTGATGTCAAGTAAAAATTTTTTAATGATGCAAAAAAGACTCTTCTCCGCTATCGTTAGTAGATTAATGAATTAAATACAAAAAAAGAACATTTCGTATAGAAATAAACAGGTAGCTTTAATATTGATTAAGCTTTATATGTTTGATAGCAAATAGATAGATAAAATTGATTAATTTTAATCAAAGAAACATCAATTTTTAGTTCTTTGAAACTTTTTATATTAAAAAAAAAATAAATATATTTTTAAAAATAGTGACAATCCAGATTCAAAAAAACTAACCACAGAAATCATTATACCAGTTTCAAGTGTACCAGAATTACTCTTAATCGGGTACGAAAATAAACTAAACATCCTATGAATTAAGTTTTTATCTTTTTCTTTGTATTTCTCTTTTCAGTGTTGCTAAACCAGAACAAATATCAACCGATACATCAGATAATAATTTAATTAAACATACATCTCATATAAAAACACATAATCTTGAAATAATACATACTTATACAATACATAATAAAGGACCAAGTGATGCTAAACTTACAGAAATTAAGCTTATGTGGCCTATATTACCATTATCAGCATTTAATCAACAAATACCATTATTACATGAAATTGATCTTCCATCTATTATTCGACTATCAGATCGAAAAAATAATAATGATCGATGTCATATTTATCAATCGGTAAGGAATTATTTCTTAACAAATTATTCAATAGTGATCGAATAGGTGAGAAAACGTTTCCAATAGTTCCTTAGATCGGAACTAGAACTGAACTTGTCGAACTCTATTATTAAATGAATATAATCAATCTTAATTCGTTCAGACTGGAATGATTTTTCTGGGAAAAGCAAATTACACAAGAAATATTAATGCAGATTGGAAAACTGTTAGCGCAATCTCTACAGAATTAAAATGTACAACACGATATAGCTATTGTTGCTTGTCACTGGAAGATTTCTTCATTCTACCTATCTCGTGACACATTTATTCACCATCCTTTTACTGATCCTCGACAAATTGAATAAAGAAGTAGTTCATCTATTAGAAAGAGACGTTATTTATATACAGCCTCTGATCGTATATTAACAATGCTTGTCACGATCTGTGACAGGCCGTCTCTAACGCGTTCATCATGTCTAGGACAAGGGGATGAGTTCTCATTTTAACTTGTATACTTCAACACTCCTTTTAGATTGTGTTTCACAAAAAAGAGAGAAATCAATTATGATCAAACAAGTAATATTAGGTGTTTATCACTGAAATGAGCATAGCTTATCGCAAATGCGCGACTATTACTAATTGTCAATGCATAAAACAGGGTGTTCCATAAGTAGCACTACAATAAAAAAGAAATTAAATATCTCTACGTTAGTTCAATCAAACAGGCTGATTTTTTTATTAGTAGTAGAATTTTTTCAAAGCTCTTTTTTTCATACGGATAATGTAAGTCAATATTACTATTAATTATTATTATTCGTATTATGAAAGGAATTTTTCTTGTTATCAAGAATCATACATACGTAGCATTAGTTGTCATTTGAGAGAATAGCGAGAATAAATTTTATTAATAAAACTATATTAATTTCCATAGAGAAAATTTTCAGAACTACTATCGGCGCCAGAATTCAAGGCAGTCGGATGGTTTTTGAATAACTGTTGATAGGAACAAGATAGAGATCTGCGGTTTTCACCGTTTGATAGTCAAGATCCAGGAGCATCTTTTCATAACCAAAATCCTTTCTGAGAAAAATTTCGCAGATCGGCTTTTTAGAGGATTTCTGGAAAACCACGCTAGATTTCTGAAAACTGCTATAACAGTCTATTGATTTTTTTACACATTCACAATCAGCATCAAAACCTCAGCCAAATCACATACGTTTCGAATCTTTTCACGAACTTTTTTTTTCGTCGAAAAATTCCCTCCTGCTTCCCATGAGGAGTAGATCAAAAAATGAAGTCAGTCAAAACTCCGTTTTTATTGTTTATTCATTTGCTATTTTGTGTTCTACTAGCATTTTAGAAGCTCCGAACTTGCTTTCCGTTGTCTAAGTGACTTTTTGACTGACTTTAATTTATGATCGACTCCTCAGAAGGACCAGGGGTGAATTTTTCGACGAAAAAAAGTTCATGCAAAGATTCGAAACATATATGATTCTACTCAGTTTTTAATGCTGATTCCGAATATGTAAAAAAAATCAATAGACTGTTATGGCAGTTTTCAGAAATCCAGCGTGGTTTTCCAGAAATCCTCTAAAAAGTCGATCTTCGAAATTTTTCTCAGAAAAGATTTTGCTTATGAAAATATGCTCATGGGTCTTGACTATCAAACGCTGAAAACCGCAGATCTCTATCTTGTTCCTATCAAAAGTTATTCAAAAAACATCCGACTGCCTTGAATTCTGGTGCCGATAGTAGTTAGAGTAAAAGTTAATGGTTCCTAAATTTCGAATTTTCAAATATGGAACACTGGTTTGTTTTTTTTTTTGAAGAACGTAAATATTTTGGTATCCAAAGGACTTCAATTATACTTTTTAATTATGGAATACGAATTCCAGTATTCGAACTGACTAATTTTGAAAATTTGCTCTGTGTGCATCAATAGAGTTCACTGTGACTTCTTGTTGTGCTCTTATATAACAACTGAAAATTATCTATGACATGGTTCAAATGTATTTTCCTAATTTGACAAGAAATGAAATTTCTTTAATGAAGTCAAAATTGTAATTTGAGAGTAATATTTTTTATGTTATCCGTATGAAAAAAAAAAACTTCAAATAAGCTTCTGCTACCAATCAAAAAATTAGTTCATTCGGGCGAACCGAAGCGGACATATTTTTATTTCTTATCTTAGTTCTATTTATAACCCACCCTTTATATCTCACTATTTGAAAAAAAACAATCCATGGTCACCTTCCGTTCCCAAAGGGTTAAAACAGAATTTATATTCAGCCTAAAACAAAAAAAAATTTAATAATAAAAGTTAAAAGATTTAATAAAATTATTTTTTATTTCTTTAGACCATGAATCATATGTCTGATATAGAAAATCATAATATTTATCGTCCATTTCTTGATAAAATTCGTTCAACAGTATCAAATAATCTTGTTCTTTCTGATTCATCTTCTATTGATCATTTTCAAGAATCATCTCAATCAATTCATTGTCATGGACCATTATGTCAAAGTTTTATTTGTTATATTGATACATTACCTATTGGTCATAGTGTTTTAATACAATTAAAAGCTATTTTGCGATTTCATCATTTTCAATCAGTAAGTTGTTTTTTGTAAGAAAAGAAACAAAAAACTAAATATCAATCAATAATTCATAGCACAATGTCTTTCCTAATCGACTTTTGATTAGTTGTTTTTTCTCATTTTCTCATTAACAACTTATGATAATAATGTTTTTAAAAATAGAATAATTTCCAAATTGTATTTTGTTAAGAGAGAAAAAAAAGCAACACTCTAGAGATTTACGTAGATTTTTTTTTTGTAAAATTAGTATTTAATCTTTTCTAATAAGTACTAAGCATTGGATAGATCCTTAAAAAAGTACGAACACCACCTGTTCAATGGTTTCCTGTGATAAAATCTTCATTTTCTTCTCATATTATTTATAACTCATCATTAAAATAAATATTTTTCTTCGTCTTTCAGTAGCATGTTATGAAACAGTCATGATGAACAAAAATTACAACCTTTAGATTTATTTTTAAAGCTATGTCAAAATATGTTTAATGTTAAGCATATTATGCGAGCAAAAAAGAACGATGTGATATAGATAAAATAATCAAGTCTATAGGGATTCGATCATAATAAAAACTAAATTATCTTTTATATATATACTAGTAAATGTTGTTAATATCAAAAATGACTGACTAAATCATTAGTTATTCATTTTTTGGGTGCTTTATTATGTCAAAAAATGCATCAGGGTCATATCAATTATAATGTAGAAATGAGTGACTTTACAGTTGAACAAACAATATTTTCAAGTCTCTAGTAATTGTAATGTTATTTAAAAAGAATATCTAAAGAAAATTCTTTATTTCTTAATATCTAAATGGAATAATCTATTAAAAAATGAATAATATATTTCGACATATTTCTTATAGAAAAACAAAAGCTATAGAAGAAAAGAAAAAAAATTCTATTATAGAATGTGTATTGTAGCTCATTAAAAGAAAAAATAATCATGGTTTTTTTTTTTTAATTTTTTTTTCACTTGTAGAAATTTGATCGTTCAAAACCATTTCTTATTGTATCAAATGCAAGTGCACAAGTTCGAGAAATTCCATTAAAATTTTTTCAAAATAAATCTTTTCAACATCCAATCGTTTATTTAAAGGTATAGTTTCATATATTCATATACACGCTCTGAAAGCAATTATCTCTTTTCATACATAATTGATGAAAAACATTTTCCTGATTTTTTTTTACTTCTCTAATGCATTTCCGAGTAATTATATCGTTATATATAGATTTGATTAGTTATATGAACACATTTATTTTTATTAATATATAATCTGGATAATAAGGAAATGTTGCATTCAGTCTGTATGTATTTTCTTCTTGTCACTATATTCTTTGTTCTGTTAATCGACGACGATGTCGTAAATTATAAAAACATAGAATCCGATAAAAAGCTTTACGAAATTTCACGTGAAGAAAAGAATAAAGAAATGGATTAATTGTGGAATTCAACCATAATAACCAAAATGTAATTTCATATATAAATACTGATATACATTTATCAGGTTGTTTACATAAAGCACGTATAAGTGTTAAAAATGTATATGGACACCAACATATAACAAATGCGAAAACAAGTATAAATAAATTTTTTGCTGCTTTACGATCACGTGCTAATGATAATGATGAAGATGATTTTGCATAAGTTGTCGAAACTGGTAAAGTTTGCTTATTAGATGAATTAAGTTGTTTAAGTTCTTGTTCATCATCATCTTTTGTTTTTTCATGATAACCATTTTCTGAACAAATATCATTTGATTTTGTTGTTTGTAATGATACAACAGATTTGAAATTTGTTGTATTATTTTTATTATGATAATTTTTGGTACGTATAAGTCCATGTGAACGTTGTCGAATATTCATATAAACAAGAAGATTAAGTGTTGTTAAACTAAAAAATGGTACAAAAAATTCGACGAATGCTGTTGTTACTAAATATGGAAAATTATTTGCAAATGGTGGATCACAGGAACGATTTTGAAATGGTTCAGTACTGGATAGCCAATCCCATAATAATATTGCTGGAGCTATATAAATTAAACATAAGAAGAATTAGAAGAAGAAAAAAAACAAGAAGTAAAATATTTGTTTACCGTAATTCAATATTGCTATAATCCATGTACCTAAAACAAATTTTAATGCACGTCGTATTGTTGTTTTTGATATATAATTTAATCCTTTTGATACCATTTGATAACGATCATAAGATATAACAACAATGCATAATGTTGATGCTGAACCAACAACATAATCAAATACAAGCCATAATTTACATAAAATATAACCTAAATACCATTCACCGAGTATTATTTTATGAGCGTATAGTGGAATACTGAAAATAAAAATAAGAAAAAAGAAAACAGATGAATTAGTGTTCTTTTATTTAATCGGAAAAATTCGTTTATGTTAAATTAAAAATGATGTTTGTTTATAAATAACATATCTTAATGTTGATATTTATTAAAAATAATTGTAGGTTGTTCTTTCTGTTTTTATTATTGTCATTTTTTTCAATTATTTCTAATAGTTTATAACACTTTTTTTTCTTTTAAAATAATTTAAAAAATATGTAGAAATGAATTACTCAGCCATAAAATATAATGACCTCACGTGCAAAATTATTAATTTTGTTTTTTTTTTAAAGATATTAAAGAAAAATTATTTTCATATATATAATATCCGCTTCATTGTAAAAGTTTCAATAAAAAAATTAGACTTACTGATACTCTCATTTTTTTTTATCCTGATCTAGGATTAAGTTTTTGTTTACGGATAATGAGAGGCTCGGATATTTTTATTCAAATATCTAGTCAGTGTCTTGTTATCGGGATGCTGAACAATAAGTGACATGTACATTTGTGCCAAGAAAAATTAGTGTTTCACTAAGAGATCATTTACAGTTGTTTGATTCATAAATGTTTTCATTTTCTATGATATGAGAGCATTGAACAATAAGAATATTATGCTTTTTACAAAAGTACTCTACTCAATGAAATTTTCGAAGCGAGAAAGTCTCAAAGACATCAATGATTTACTATTATCTTTTCTTTGAAATATCGAAGTAAAGATTTTCAAAACAATTTACCATATAAGACCGATAAGTAAATCAGCAATAGAAAGATTAAGAATAAAATAATTCGAATAAGTTCGTATAGTTGGTTCACATATAAATGCCATAATAACTAAAAAATTTCCTGATACAGTTAAAAAAGCCATTATTGACATTAAAAATGTAAGAATAAATTTTTCAATTGATGATAATAGATCATTTGTATCTGTATGTTTAATAATTGAACTTTGATTTATATTTACATTCCTTTGATTTATTTGTGATGTTATTGCTGATGATGAAAAAAATGATTGATATATTAGATTTGTATCATTTGATGTATCATTTAAAAAAAGATCAGCAGTTAATAAAAAATTATTATAATCAAAACGTGAGCCTATTTTATCGGCATTTGTTAAAGAAATCCATGTTTGATTCATTGTAAAACATTGTCATTCATATTCGTATAAAATAAAATAATATATATCGACAGAAAATATTTAATAATCTAAAAGTGAAAAAGAAAAAGGCAGTATATATAGATATACAAAACAATGACAGAAAGTTCACTGTTTTCAAGTTATTCCCGAGTGAAAAGGAAGAGAAAAAAGACACGAGCAAAGAGAAATTGGAGTCTCAATTATTAACATTAGTTGAAAGCGAAGAAGAAGAAAAGAGAAGAATCAGATTTTTTTCTTAGTTTTTTTTCTCGTACTACTGTTTTTATATTAGTCTATTAACAAAAAAAATAATATACCAAGATCAGTACGAAACGGAACTGAACTATTAGCACATCATATAGAAAATGTCGTTAAAGAAAAGAAATATAGTTACTCTATTTAATTAGGCATTTCCAACTATTATAAGAAACTTTGACAGAATTTCTTATTCAAAAACTAAATAGATTTAAACATGTAGAATTTTTGAAGAAAAAAAAACCCAGTGAAACTATTATCAAATACTTTCTTTTTCAAATTTACTCAAGTTGTTGTTTGTGTTTCAAAGAGAAGAAAAAAAGTGAGCCGCAAGAGAAGAGTTTGTTATTTATCATGCATGAACACATTGCTTTTATTGAGCTGTTGTAGTTCAGTAATTTATTTGACTTTTCATAAAACGTCACATTAATTCATTCCGAATCATCTATGTCTACTAAAAACTTCGAATAACATCTGTCATACCCACTCAAAAATAGGTAGACATTAGAAAAAAAGAAAAAAAAAACAAAGGATAATCAATATAGTTAGTCAAATAAAAGACAATAATAAATGCGAGTACTATTCTTGTCGTCATTAATATAATGGTCATTTCTATTGCACAATTCTTGTCAATATGCTATTATCATTATTTGATTTTAGCACATTTTTGTTATTGGTCGATTTACTTGACACTAATTTTCTTTTTCTCTAATTATATGAATACATCCGTAATCAACGTGATTAGACTTGCTATTCCCACAACAGTATTATGCCTACATAGGAAAATAGAAATAGACAAAATCCAAAAAAAAAAAAAAAAAACTCGAGTACGAATTGGGAATATGAAAGTTATCTATGCTTTTGTCTTTTTCTTACTTGACTGGGGAAGTAGAAAACTAACACTAACAACTATCGAAGAAAAGAAAAAAAAATGATATATTTTCTTCATTATTTTTAATAGTGTCATCATAATACGCGATAGTCAAAGTATGAGTATTCATAAAAACAGTGATGTGAAGAAACAATTTAATAAAATCTCTTTCGACTCATCGAAGCATAATATATTGAAATATGATTGTGAACTATGCTTTGTTTTGCTTTCAGTGCTGATTATATTGTGAAGAAGCCTTGTGTTGTAGAGAAAAGAAAAAATTTCAATTAATTTTTTTTGCTTTTTTTACCTGTCTTGACAAAATTGATTACTGTCGATATACAAAAAAATAGATGGCGGTTGTCATTGTTATTGTTTATGAAAATCTATCAATGATTATTATTAACATTGTTATCTTTATATTGGCATGAATATGACTGAGTTCATCTTCTTTCTGCTTTTGTGTCATCAAATAAAAACGATGACTAGGGAACACAAACTGACAAACAGATAGAAAAGCAAAGATCTTAGAGCGAATGACTGCAAGAAATAGCCTAAATGTCTTTATAGAAGTATGTGCATATGTATATGTGTCAACAAATGACCTAAATACAATAAGAATATACAAGAGTGAGTTTGGTAAAATTTATGAGGGCAAAAATATTGGTCTTTCTTGTCTTTTCTTTTTTTTTCATTGTTCAGTTCAATAAGATAGTGACATGAAAGAAGAAGACGCAATGCAAGAGATTCTTAACATGTTTATAAAAGAGCCATTAAAGCATCCGAATAGATCTTGACGATAACTGAAGTAATGAGACGTTTATAAAAGAAAAACGTTTGTTGAATGCGCATGCGAACGAACTAATATCTGTTTTTATTTATAAACTATTATTTGTTTGCCTTGAATACAATCGATAAAGATATGCGTTTATTTATTCTATATCGAGGAAAAATTTGAGATTCATCCGTTAGGCAATTGAAGGAATTTATAATGACCGATTAGAAAGAAGAAGAAAAAAAACGATTAAATACTGCTAAACATATTGTTTAGTCTGTAAATATTTCTACAGCAAGAAAGCAAAACAAAAAAAAAAATAACAAAAAAAGTTATTCTTCATAAATAAAAAAGCAAGAGAAAACAAATTGATCAATGGGAAAAATATTTTTAAGTGAAGTCAGATCGATCATAATTAGAATTTGTAAAGTTATTGTTTTAGGCAACAATTATTCCCTTGATAAAAACAAGACAAAATCGAATTCTAACTGCTGATAAGTAGGATGTTGTCAACATAGAACAGGAGAAAAAATGAAAAGAATGATGATTGAGAAGGGGAAAGAAGATGAATAACAAGTGGTTTATTCTTTAGTTAATCTTTGACGTCATCATCATCATATTAATCGGGTACATTGTTCCTTTTTTTTTTCTCAGACTGCGTCTATTTGTTCATTTGTGCATATTATTCAATAGGTAGTGACGCGTTCTAGGA